TGGGGATGCTTTTCCATTAGCGCTCTCTAAAATTAAGGCAGGAAGTGGACAAACCTTCATGCCCACCTCCCTCAAGAGGCAGGAGAATGATGCTGGGTGTTGCTTCTATATTGCACTTGTGATTAAAGTGTATAGAGAAGGGTTAAGATGAGCAACTAAGGTTTGCCAGGCTGGAAATGTGGGCGGGACACAGGGAGGAAATACCCTTGTGATACTTTCTGTGCAAGTCTCCTCACTGTAACTCTCACCTCTCAAAAGAATGGCTTCAGAGAAGTGCTTGATTACCTACTGCTGACTCCCTAAGTGTTTCCAGTATCACCTTGTGTTCCTGTTATGGGACAGGAGGCTTGGGTGTTTCTCAATAAAACTACAAAGCTTTCAGAAATTTGGTCTATTTAAAGGATAGCAGAGATGTGAACCAGGCTTGAAAAGAACCCTTGAAACATTTGGCCCTTTGGAAGGAAGTACCAGCTTGTGAAAAGGAATTTCCAGACTTATTTGTGTGAAAAGGAATCGGTAAGCCTCTTATCAAACCCAAGTGTTTGGTACTAGAACAGTGCTATCAGGCCCTTCGTTTGTCTTTGCAAGTTAAAATCTGAATGCCTCCAGTCACCAACAATGAAGATGCTGAAATGTGAAATAGGAAAAATCTATAGTCAGCCACTGCTGGAGACAGGTCCAAGTTGAATCACCAAAAGCCTAGCCAAAGTCTTACATGAAAACAGTCAACTTACAGGCAGGGGACAGATATTAATACTTTTTTTTTTTCGTTTTTGGCAAATTACATGTAAAACTTTAAAAAAAGCAAAAATAATGATCCTCCATTTTAACTTTACAAAGAAAATAATTAAAATGTATGTTATTAAAATATGCAAAATTTATAATTTAATTATACAATTACAGAGCCTTATAGTCTAATAGCCCCAGTGTATTTTGCTATTAGTGAACAATTGCTTTCTTAAAGCTCACAGCAGAATCATTTACTTGATGCTGGAGAATAAGTTAATTACGGATCTCCTGCCTTTGATTAATGGATTTAATAATCACGTTACAGTAGAATTAACTTATACTTCATGTGCTTACAGCACTAACGATGAGATTCATGAAAGCAATGTGTCAGCAAATAGGATTGGCACCAAAAAAGGCAATGTTTGGAGATCCCAGGACTGCCTGTGCCTGTATCACTGCTGGTCAGCAGTTCTGTTAGGAAACTGCAAATAGCATCCAACCATTTTTGCCTCATCCACCATTAATCTCCACCATTTGCTACTTATTTCTACAAAACCAAATGCTGTTTTCAGGTGAGCTGAGCACCTCAAATGAAGCTCAATTCTGGATGCTGGGGCACAGGGAGGGCAGGGAATTATCCTAGGAGATTGGTACAGTATCAGGTAATGCATATACCAAATAGGCACAGCCATCTGTAGTCTGCTATTACCCAGTATAACAGAATAAACATTAGTTTTCTTTAGTGCATGTTTGGCTTCTTTTATGCACATAATACAAGTATAAAGTTTCTTGAATGGAAACACATCAAGTCAGCCAAAATTTATTCTCTCTAAAGGAATCTCAAGAACAGGTACTTAATACAACCTAAGAGACAGAGCACTATGGTTTTCAAACTTTACTTCACTGGTTCAAGGAGAGGAACCATTGCAGGACAGAGAAGGTACAAGGAACGCTTCAAAGTCTTTTGTGTTTTGCTGTTATTCCTCACAGGGCTCCTGTGCATGCCTGTGTAAGCACCAGATCTGCAAGTCTGGCAGGAACCAGATTCAGAAACCTTTACTTAAGTAAAACTCACATTGACACAAATAAAAACAGAATGAAGAGCTGAACCACATTTTGTCTGAAAGAGCAGTACCTCAGGAATCACTAGCAATAGGATTTCAAATTGCATCAGCCACGTACTTACCTATTACCATGCAAAGTAGAATAACGCAATACAAGTCAGCAGCTTAGCATAACACCGGGCCCCAAGAAGAAGGCAGGAAATGAATAGGAATACAATTTCCTTAACAATTCACTTACAGGAATTATTCTGCAAGATGTTGCCCACATCCTGGTGAAAGATGCAGTCTGAGGGTACAGGAAGCACTGGGCCATTTTGCTATGTCCCCTTACTGCTCATCATCCAACTCAGGTGCTGCTCCTTCCACAAGATGGTGGCAGAACTCATTGCACTGATCATATCACAGAGAAATACCCAGAAAAAGCCAGGGAAATTGCTGCATGACCAGCACTACCCTGCCTGCTAAGACTGAGGGTACACTAATGCTGTTCAACCTGCCTGTTAAAGAAATTAGTCACCAAACTGTTATTTCACAGCTGATGGTAGAAAGCTCCCTTCATGCACTGCAGCTGCTTACCTCCTCCTCTGTTGGAAGGGTCGTGGGGGCCTCATCTGCATTGCTTGTCAGCTCTCCAGGCAGCATTTGGAGAATGTGTCTGAAAAGCAGACAGTGTCCTTTGGTGCCTGTCGTGCAACTCCACCAGTGACATTAAACCACTGCTGCTTGTGTTTTGTTCTGGGAGATATTTAGGGTTAAGATAATCCAAGGTTTGTGATGAAAATCAACATTTTCTTCCACCAAACCCACCAAAGCAAGCTTCAGGGATTAGAGACATACTGAAATAATGCAGATTTTATTGCTGAACCAGATGGAACTATGCCTTTAGATATGCCACTTCAAACCTAGCTGCACATCCCACTCTTTTTCTTTGATTCCCCTTTATTCCCCTTGTTCTGACGCTGCCACACATCCATCCAGCGTGGAGAGTTACAGCAATGCTCTTCTCAGCTTGTCACAGCTGGCTTGCTAATGAAAGCCATTTTAGACAGCTATCAGGCCCCTTCTCCATGTCATACCACAGTGCTTTAACCTCTCCCTGCCCCAATTTGTTACAGGTGAGCTCAGGAATCAGTGGCCAAATAACCTCCAGCTGTAGGTCACCTGCCAAGGGGCAACTGTTCAAAGAAGACCACAGACATTCCCAGGTCTTAATTTAGAGGCTAAACCCACCAAGAACTTGGATTATGTTAGTCTGATAAATGCCAAAAATGCTTTCTAGGATATTTATGATGGGTTTCCTCAGTGCCAGGATACAGGAGGTACTTCCTTGTATACTTCTATTTTACAGCCCTCAAATCACATGTTTCCTGGAAAATGACAGGTAAAGCTAAGGTCAGCCTTAACAGGGGCAGTGCTGGCCTGCAATCTCTCCCTGCTTTGGCTCCGCTTTGCGTATATGGTTTCACCACTACACACATTTTTTTACTTTATATGAGCCTTAGCAAATCCTTGTCCTATAGATACTCATCTCCTACAGTTGTAGGCACAAATAATAAAATAGACAGTGATGAGTAGACCCTATAATGCAAAACTAAATATCCAATTAGAATTTGATGAGGAAGTGTGAAATAAACCACATTAAACAGAATAAGATGAGACAAAAAAATCAATTTCCCATTGAATTCAGTGGTTACTTTTTTTCCTGACTCTCAATGTTAAAAGCATCAATTACACACGTAATTTACTCCTTTACAATCTGATTCTGTGTTCAAAGCAAAAACATGCATTACAAAATAGGAGTTAGTCCAGCCATTACACAGAAATAAGCAGTGCCTTGTAGGTCTCTCCAGGCTGGCTTTAAGAAGTGTTCCACTAATGTAGGCCAGAGAAAGTTGTGTTATATGCAGTTTGGGAGAAGGAAGTGATTTTGAAGCAGCCTGCTGTTTCATTCAAAGCAAGATGTAATCTCAATTGGTGCAGAAGGTAAGAAGCTGAACTTGGGAAAAGCCATGGAGATGTTTGGGATGGAAAGAAAACATATGTCCCAAAAAGATTTGCTTTTGTGGATGTGCCCAGAAGTTGTAAGAATGGTACAACAAAATGCATCCTTCATTGAGCTTATGTAAGCAGCTAAGCACCATGAATATAAAAAGAGTAGAAAAAGCTGCTTCTGGAAGATTTCAGGACAAGTAGACACAAGCATGATTTCTCTTTTATTTCATCTTGTTAACAATGTCTTATATGTATATCTTGAAAACGTGATGCATGTAGAGTTATTTTAAGCTAACACAAAGATGTTTCATTTGTAGGGAGTGGTGATCCTTGACCCATTGTACTGAGCCATACTTGCAGGGTCTGTGAGTCCACTATGCTTCACTTCTACCTCCAACAGACAGCAAGATGCATCTCCGCTGAGCTGCATGGGAGGGGAGTTTTCTGGTATGAGGTAGGATGATAGGAAGCATGCCTAAATCCTGAGATGTACAAAGAAAAGTGCAACACTTGGCAAGAAATGACTCTGCAAACCCATCTCCCTGAACTGACAGAAATTTATGCACAGAAAAAGTGGGAAAAGAAATCCAGTGTAAGAAACAAAGGCAGAAAAGTGGTGTGAAAAGACGAGTGATGCATCTAATACTTCAGTAAAAGCTCCTTCTGGGGTGTCTGAAGATGCTGTGGCAGCTTGCTCACATTTGTCTATGTTCTAAACCTTTCGCACTTTGTTCTTCGAGCCAAATGTGGACCACATTATTTTGGGTTGCAAACCCCAGACATCCATAAACACTGAAGAGAAGCTAAATGTAGAGCAAACAATGGGTTCTTTAATGGGTGTAGGAACCTCTTGTCTTAAATCCAAGAGTTTAAAGTCAATTCCAGCTGTCTTGGATTGTCCCTTGCTTGTAAAGAGCCTGTCAGTAAATTGTTAATTCAGAACCCCCTGGCTGCGATCATTAATGGATGAAATTTGGTGTTAAACCTTGCTCCAGTCTCTAGAGCACTAGCTCAGCTCTAGGCTACTGGCATCTTGGGTACTACTTTGTACCCACGTTTATCTTTTTGTGACTGTCTTTTTCAGCTGATGGGGGGGGCAGCGGGCGGAAAGCTCATAGCAGTTAATTTCTTCATTTTACACTAACTTACCCTGTTCCCCTTTCTTCAATAGCTGCAATATAATGTCATTTCAGTAGAGCAACGCTTTGTGAATTTGGCTCAAGGAGACACTGAGCAAACAGCTTTTCAGAGAGCTTCAACTCAGCTGTCAGAAGGGGCAGTTTGGTTTCTGTGCAAGCAATACTCACATTCCAAACTGCATTAGAGAAAAGCCAGTGGGTTTGTATGCATTTTTATTATCAGTTCCAGATTAGGAGTCTGATGCTAATTTCTTCTTAAAGCCTACATTTGCAGTAGGTTTTATATTCTAAAACAAAAAAAGGATTGTGAAGTTTTCCTCTCACTAGCTCACTCTTTTCTTTTTTTTTTCTTTTTCTTTTTTTCACCCCCCCTGGCTTTACTCCAAGGACCTTTTCTGCTTGTTCATTACATTCTCAAGATGAAGCACCCGATGGTTACAGCAGTGCTGGTAGTACTGGTGCAGGTTTCTCAGAGTTTCCCTGCCCTGTACCACCGAAGCTGGTGGAGGCTGTTAAGGGAAGGAGATAGTTGTGGAAAATGCGATTTGGCACTTTGCTCTGAGCCTAAAGACTGTCCAGCTGGAACTGTATTGGACCGTTGTGGCTGCTGTCCTGAATGTGGAAATGTGGAAGGTCAGATCTGCGACTTGGACCAGGGCAATCATTTTTACGGGCAATGTGGGGACAACCTTGTGTGCAGGTTGGACGCTGATGAAGCAAGATTTGGGGAAGTCCCCGAACCCCAGTGTGTGTGCAAGTCTCAAGAGAGCATCTGTGGACCTGAAGGGAAAACCTACGAGAACATCTGTCAATTCAACAAGGCTTATGCTACGAAAAGAAATATCAGCATGAAACATAAAGGGCCATGTGAATCAGGTAATATGTACAGAGGCACTTCCAAAGTGAACAAAGATCTGATTCTTATTTTCAGATGTGTTACTAAATGTTCTAGTCTAACTTTATTAACGAACACTGCATTTTTGTTATCATCATTTTATTATAATACCACTTTGTGACAGCAGCTGGTACTTGATGTTGTATGTTATAAGCCTCTAATTTAGACTAGTGGATTAAAGCACATGGTGACTAATAAGCCATAGATCTACAGACTAGCTCTGCTTTGAATAAGCAGAGTATGAGATATTTTATACAAAAATTGTATGTGAGGTTGGGAATAGGTAAACAGATAGGATAGTCAGGGAGGACTGGACAAATAATTATTATTATATGAGGACTAACCTGATATTAAAGTGGTGATAGCAATGCAGATCTCATTTATATATATATACATATGTGTATGCATGCAGGTATCCAGCTGTGTGTATATATGGTAAGCAGCAAAGTAGAGGCAATAGAAGAAGATAGGGCTTAATTAGCAGGTCTGTTCTTTTCACAAAATGTCCAAAATAATCCAATTTTGGAATCATCATAAAATCTAGCTAACCCATGAAATAGAAATCCAAATATTAGAACAAAATAAAACTGAAACAATTTCCTTAAAGACACTTACAGTGCATGAACAGTTGTCTGCGATGATTCTTAGTGGAAGGATTCTTAGCTAGGTTGTAGGGAAGAATCCTGCCTCCTGCTCATATGCTGTTCTCATTCTTCACGTTATTACAAGTCTTTACTCCTGGGCACCTTTCACCTAAGTCACATGAATATAAAATGAAAATGAAAAAGTGAGCAGGCTTTTGTTTTCTGAATGAGAAATTATTGGTTTTTTTTAAAGTTAAATATTTTCTCAAATGAAGTAAGTAGAAAAGGTCTCTGGGTCACAAATGGGTCACAGTTCTGGGAATCTGAAATTGCATCTCTGGCAAAGGTCCATATATGAGAATAACTCAGGTACATTTTACCCACTCCTCACTAGCAATCTGTTGCCTCCAATTTAGACTGTATGGTGTGCTTTTATATTGAATGAACACTGGATATTGAGTACTTAAAAGGAAAACTGATGAACAGCTAATACCAGACTTCTTTTCTCTTTCTCTAGTTGCAAGAGAAAGATCCATTAAAGAATCCCTTATTTGCCGTTAGGGTATTAAGCTGGGAAATGAGGCTTGTCAGTAAAGAGACATTCAGAAAACTCAATGCGTACCAGCCCACAGTATGATTGAAAGCCTGTTAGCCCTCAGGTAGGTGTTCTTATTTGGGATTAAAATAGCACTAGTTCTTGCAGCATAATGCCTTCAGGAAGATTTCAATTAGAAGTGCCACTCTAGTAGCAAGTGATGTTAACTTTTCAGCAGAGGTAGCTCTTCAGGCATACAGGCTTAAAGCAATGGTCCGCTCTAATTAATTAAACAGAACAGGCCATGTACAAAAAGCTTTAATTTGGAAGTACTACCACTTTCAATTGCTGCTGTTGTCATCCATCCGGCCTTGCAGTCACCCCTGAGGCGCATAACACCACTCATCGAGCAGGAGGAATGAGCTCAGCTGCTCTGCATGCAGGCATCACCCCCAATGCTTTCCCACTGCTTCCCTGGGTCCCCAGAAAGGCTGGACCCTCTCTCCAGGAATGCAGAGAAATTTCCTAGGAATCGCTCAGCTTACTGAATTGCACAGAAGCCTGGGGGAAAGTTCATAGCCATGTCCGTGCTGTGCAGAGTTTAGTTAAGAAAAATGGAGGTCCATCTCCTTGGCTCTTGCAGAGGCAAGTGCCCAGCTGGTGTATGTGCCCAGCTGCAGCAGAGTACTTGAGCCTGAGGTGAGTGCTGGGCTCCCGGGCGGGGGGGGGGAGCACACATGCCCCTCTTCTCAACCTCTCGGAGCAGCAGCTGACCATGTTGGGTTTGCAGACTGTGTTTTAGACCCTGGAAGGAGCTTGCGCCTTTCAGCAAGCAGTAGGGCACAGAGGTGCTACCATGGGGGGCACCATGCCTTGATCCCGCGTAAGAGTCTACCAGTAATCCCCCTCTTTGCCACAGCAGCCATCTGAAGCAGCACAGTGGGCATGTGAAAATGCACCGCGATTTAGACAGTTTTTCATGGCTGCAGCTGATAACAAAAGGGAACAGGGAGCCTTGCTCTAAGAGGAGCAACTTCGCTGCGGCCCTCGCTTTCCGCTGACTCCAATTTGCATGAGAAACAAACACTGAACGCTGTGGGGTTTTGGTACCAAGCTATAAATATAACCTTCACTCAACTCAAAGTACTTTGTTTTTTCTCCTTCAAAGCATCTGCTGTTTCCTATTGATGCTAAATGGATTAATTGTATACAGCAACCAATGAATAAATAAATAACAATAAACTCCTTTCATCAGAAGAGTATAGCCTTTTATCTTTTGTCTGTCAACAGAAAAAGGAGAAGAAAAAGGCCAAGCTCCCTAAAGAAAGACTGAAAAAGCCCTGCTTTTCCTGAAAAGCTAGTTTTGACCTGTTTATCTAATAATTTACCAAGGTTACTAAATAAATTGATTATATACAGATTCTCCACACTTAATCCTTCCCCATTCACATTCCAACCTCTCTTGCTGATGATTTAACGAACAGAACAATCTAGCAGAGATTCTATTTAGCTGTGTCACATAATTTATTTTAAATGTACATTTTGGAGTAAAAAACCAAATAAACAAGCCATGAAATTTTTGGCCATTTTCCTGAAATCAGACATAGATTGGCAAAAATTAATATGAGTTAAGGGGGAAAAAAATTGTATTATCCAATTCATTAGTCTGGAGTGATATTGGGTTAATGTTGATTGTGAAAGGTGAAGCAGTATTCTGACTTTTCCTGGCTTCTGGGTTATGTCTTCTGTAACACATGAGGATAATTCATGACTGGGACTGTAAAAGGAAAGGAGCAACTACTGCACATTCACCTCCGGATGCCGAGACATCAGAGTGCTTTCTATAGCTTTCAAGAAAAATTTATCTACTCTAGGAATCAAAATGACAGGTTACCATAACGGTAAAGATCTGTTTCTAAAGACAGTTATGCAAAAAAAGTACACACAGATGTGCATGGGAGAATTTGGTTGAACATGAAATCTGAAAAACTCAAAAATGAAGTTTGTAAATTTAAAATAATACCTCATTACTTCCATTTTCTTCTGTAAAATACAGCAAAATGGTGTTGTGAGACATGTACTACTTGATTGCTGGAGGCACATCAAGTTTGAGTAAATGATGCAAGTATTTATTGTGTGTTCAGATTCAGAAAAGGCAATTTGGTTAGATCAAAACTGTGGTTCTTCCACCTTGCTATGAGTTTGATCTCACATGATGCCAGTCCTGGTCAGCCCTGGTCCGGCAAAGCCTTAACTACCTCTATAAAAGTTCTTATCTGGGTGGGGCTCAGCCCACATCTAGAGATTTCCAAGCTATCATCTGTATTCTCCTTACAGTTAACAGAGGCAGGGGTATTTCCAGTGTGGAATTTGTCTTGGTGTATGGTAGACAGTGCTACCCAAATTTCTTGTACATGAACAGCTAAAATGTAGATTTGTAATTCAGACCCTTATGTCCTCGAGGCTAACGATGTGTTTCGTGGCATGGTGAAGCCAGAGCCCTCAGCCTCGCACGGCTGACCCACGTCTGTGGCCAGTCACATAAGCAGGACTCGGTTCTTGGCAATACTTCAGTGTTGTCAGTGCATCTATAGGACACCTGTGTTAGCACCAGAACAAAAATACAAACCAGTCGACATCTGCCTATTTAAAAAGTTTTTCATGCTGTCTTTGTACAGGAATAATTTAAAGAACTCATGTGAGTCAATGTAGACATGTGATTTCTTTTTTACACTTTAACTACAGTGGATGTATCATTAAAAGGAGTGTGGTTGCATTGAGTTTTAATATTTCAGAGTACAGTTTCTCTAGACAAAAATTTCTTACCCAAGATATTCAGTTAATGCTGATTTGAATATAAGATTTTTGAAATAATATACAGATTCTGAATGTACCTTTCTCATGAAAGAACAAGCATTTAAGGGTTTAAGTATCCTAATTTGAAAGTCTTGCTTTTAAAGAGTAGCATGATTGTTTAAAGAGGCATTCATAAATGGGGAAATTGATACTTTGCTGTATACTTTGTTTTTAATTAATTTTAATCAGTATGCATTTGATATTTTCTGCACAGATACCAATCCTGAAAAACTGACAAATGTATTAGAAACCTTGCTTGAAAACCTGGAACACGCTGTTTCAATTTCAAATGCTGAAGCATAAATGCTGTACCTACATATTGATTCAAATATTGCAAGTAAAAATATATTAATTATTTACTATAAGTTTCTATTTCCAAGCATCTGGGGTCTGTACAAAAATAAAAGCAATAATTAAATACAAGTCTAATGGCCCAGAAAATGCATTCATTTTTAAACACTGGCATGGAAATAGAAAAAAAACAGACTTTAGAAGGAAAAACATTTCTTGCTGAGGACAAACAGATCAGGAAAAAAAGCAGAGATCTCAAAAATAGGAAAGCTGTGATAACAGTAAATATGTTTTTTTGCTCTCTGCTGCTAAATATCATCATTTCCTGTTAACATTTAGTATTTTCATACATGCTTATAGAGGGATATGTATTTAAATCGTGTATGAATGCATCAGGTGATAGTTTATTTTTTCAAATCCCTGGACTGGCTCCCTCTCGTGGTTAACGTCAGCTTTTTCTTTGAGAAAAAGTGGGAGAGGATAATTCAGAGAGAATAAACAGTGGAGGGAGGCGAGGGTGAGAGAACAATAGGAAACAAGTACGTGGAAATCTAATAAATATAATAAACATAACATAAAACCTTATAAAATAATTGGACTTCAATCACTTTTATTACTTGTCTCATAACAAGAACATCAGAGGAAATTGATAGCAATTGAGGATAATGCTGTTATTCTGTAACTTGCTGCAATGAGTTCCATGGGTAACAGAGGGGGATGAGATTTTAGCAAGTTGAAGGCAATGATGTACTCGGAAAATAAATTTTGGCAAGCTAGCAATCTCAGTATTTCAGCTTTTAAGCTAACCAAAATATAAAAGAAATTAAGAAGAACTACAATGCACAATCAAGGTACTCTGTGATTGCCTGCTACAGAATTTCTTGTATTTTCCTCTGAAGGTCTGTTCAAGTACTGGCTGCTTGATTGGTGGGCCTTGAGTCTAGTCCATGATGACAGTTCATGGGACACAAATTAAACTTTTAATTTCAGCCTAAGTTTCACAATCATGTGCAAGGGGATGGACAGACGGGTCCTTTGAAATAAGTGTTTTTAAAAAGGCTCTTCACCCTTTAATGGGACACAAGGTGTTCTGAGCTTTAAAAGCTGCTTGAAATCATGTGGCTCTTCATAATGTGTGAGATGGCAAAAGGTAAACTGGTTTTATCACGTAAAGTAGAAATTAATGTTATATTCTTTTGTGTTTGTGTTGTCTTTTGCTCACTGTCTTCTAAAGCATGGTTGTGTTGGTTCTTTGCAGCTCCTGTTATTTCTATGCCACCTCAGGACGTCCAGAATTTCACGGGCAATGATGTCATTTTTGTCTGTGAGGTGTCAGCCTATCCTATGCCACATCTCGAATGGAAAAAAAAGGGGAATAAAATGTTTCTGCCAGGAGATGACACCCACATCTCAGTACAGGTAAAACTTGAGTTTTCCATGTCATACAGTTTGGGATGAGGAGCAGAAGGATTAATCAGTGAATTCTTCCTACAGAATACAATAGTTTTGCATTAAATAGATTCCCAACAGGGGCCCTCTGACTACATGAAGAACTATGATTTCAGTCAGTGCAAGGATCATTGCTTTGGCAGTCCAAGCAAAAGAAACAACAGCCAGGGTACCACCTGGCCTGCTTCGGGGAAAGAAAAGATGGAAGATTCTCCTTATGTAGGCATGATTCTGGAAAAACTGAATGAACATATAAATGGAACCGTTTAGACTACTACCTAAAAGAAGGTGCATTCTGGGAAGGATGGCTGTTGGCAACAATTTTTCTACTTTTGATGCAGAAGCATAATTCTGGCAGGTATCTAAACTTCTCCTTTGCCAGATGCTGTTTCTGGAGACCTGCCATTTGGGTACAGTCCCTGAGGCGTTCAAAAGGAAAGCAAAGCAACTTGTTCGCTTTATGGAGGACACTGTGCTTTAATCTGAAAAATGGTATTAGTGTAGCTTCAAGCAAATCTATAAATAGCCTGAAAGTTTGAGGTAAAATTAAAAAAAATCAAAATGCTAATTCTTTTAAATGAAAATAACATCTGGGGTGACAAGCTAACAAAGCCAGATGTACAGGCAGACTGCAGTAAGCCTGAAGCCTGCATCCGCATGCCTTCTCGAATGGACAAAGAATGTGAACAGAGACTATGCAGAGAAATGCATGGCAAATATAAATAGCCTGAAAGTTTGAGGTAAAATTAAAAAAAATCAAAATGCTAATTCTTTTAAATGAAAATAACATCTGGGGTGACAAGCTAACAAAGCCAGATGTACAGGCAGACTGCAGTAAGCCTGAAGCCTGCATCCGCATGCCTTCTCGAATGGACAAAGAATGTGAACAGAGACTATGCAGAGAAATGCATGGCAAATCTAGGTTTCTGGATACGCAACCCAAAAGCAGTAAGATCCAATGGACTTGGGGCACAACCTGAACAAAAAGGTAGATAGATAAAGCACAGAAAAAGCTAATTAAAGTACCAAAAGTACTGAAGTACTAGAGTCTAAGTTATTTAGAAATGTATCCAGAGGCAGCAGTGGGTTTAGTGGACTTAAAGTTGCTCAGAAACTATGGTGCAAGGAACCACATCTAAATGCTGGTCACCTCTGAGGCTAAACTGAACCCTGTTAACCTATCCCATTAATAGATTTAGCATGACAGCGTATCCAGTAACATCTGTTAATGGGATTGAGTTATTTGTTTGGAAAAGAAAGCTCATGCCTTTAAGAGGCTTTAGCGCAAGTCAGTTGAAACTGATTGTCATGAAGTGTGAAAGCTCATGGTATGTCATGCCAGTCTGTTAAAACCTGGGTGCTGTGTGTCAGCTTGGTCAGGCCTCTTGGCCCTGAACAACTCACCCACACCCACGTGCCACTCTCATCCCAAAGAAATTTATGACCTTGAGAACGGGTGGCAATGCTTGGAAGCAGCAGCAAGAAGTGGTGCTGGGACAAGAGACAGAAATGGATCTGGATCTGGACAGGCTGGATCGATG